TACTAGGGGCTCCTGGCATCGCTACTAGGAGCAAAGGACGCTACTAGGGGCTCCTGGCATCGCTACTAGGAACAAAGGACGCTACTAGGGGCTCCTGGCATCGCTACTGGACGCTACTAGGGGCTCCTGGCATCGCTACTAGGAGCAAAGGACGCTACTAGTGGCTCCTGGCATCGCGACTAGGAGCAAAGGACGCTACTAGGGGCTCCTGGCATCGCTACTAGGAGCACAGGACGCCACTAGGGGCTCCTGGCATCGCTACTAGGAGCAAAGGACGCTACTAGTGGCTCCTTGGCATCGCTACTAGGAGCAAAGGACGCTACTAGGGGCTCCTGGCATCGCTACTAGGAGCAAGGAGCAAGGACGCTACTAGGGGCTGCTGGCCCTACTACTAGGAGCAAAGGACGCTACTAGGGGCTCCTGCCATCGCTACTAGGAGCAAGGACGCTACTAGGGGCTCCTGGCATCGCTACTAGGAGCAAAGGACGCTACTAGGGGCTCCTCGCATCGCTACTAGGAGCAAAGGACGCTACTCGTGGCTCCTGGCATCGCTACTAGGAGCAAAGGACGCTACTCCTGGCATCGCTAATAGGAGCAAAGGACGCTACCAGGGGCTCCTCGCCTATCCAGAACTCCATGTTGCAAAGTGGCCCTTGAGGCTGCGCTGATCGCAGCTCTTGCAGTCGCTGTTGAGGATCTGACCCGAAGTTGGCTGTACGTAGCATAGAATCCAAGCCCCCGTTTTGCTGAAGGTCGGGCCAAAAAGTGCCATCACTGGTGAACAGTAGTGGGCAATCAGAGCCAAATTGATTTAGCAACATCTGTCTCAAGCTTTCTAAATAGTCCTTATCTGTGCCCCAGTAGCCATACTCATTCTCCACCTGTATGGCGATGATGGGCCCACCCTGGGCGGACAAAAATGCCTCAAGTTTGGGCAAAAGCTCGTCCCACCAACGTTTTACAGCCGTCAGGAAGTCTTTGTCCGACGACCTCAAAGGTACAGGATCTGGACCTGTCAATAACCACCAGGGCAACCCTCCAAGATCCCATTCGGCACAAATATAGGGTCCAGGTCTCAAAAGCACATCCAGCTCAAGCTCTTGGCAAATAGAAAGAAAACTAAGCAGGTCACAGCGACCCTCGAAAACAAACTGACCAGGTTGAGGTTCATGCAAATTCCAGGGAACGTAGACTTCAGCGGCATTGCAACCAAGAGCCTTCAGTTTTTCGAGTCGATCTCGCCATTGTTCAGGCAGAACCCGGAAGTAGCTCACGGACCCCGACAAGATCCGGTGCTTTTGGCCACCCAAAGCGAAGTCGTTCTGTTGGATCTCAAGCCTGCGAAATGCAAAAGTTCGACATGCCTATACATGCCTCAACCTCCTGTCTTCACCTGCAGCATTCTAAAACAAAATGCGGCTGTCTGTGTATAGGTTGAAGTTCTGGTCCAGGTGAACAGGATGAGGTGGGGACAAGAATATATATGTAGATATATGGGTGTTGATCTAAATTCCTTTATCTGGGATCCGTCATTCTCAACCATAAAATTTTACTTTAGCCAAACTTTTGCCTTCCTTATTTTATCTTTCGCCGAAGTATGTTGTACTTATGTGCCATGTATATATGTTGTATGATGGAAATCAACATTGTTCATGTCAATGGCTTCTTCTTTACTGGCAATACGAAATAGAAACTTCACTGTTTGTCAGCATGCGTCTTCTACTTAACTGTTGACTCCCTGTACGTCTCTTTTGTTTCTCCTGGGTGTCGGCAAGAATCAAAAATTGCAAGAATCACTGTAGCCGGTCACTCAGACTTACTTAGAATGGGCTGGGGGTCAGATGTGGCAGGGTGAACTTTCGCCAATCTTGAGCTGAACTTTCGCCAAACTTTCGCCTTTTGCGGGGTAGAGTTTTGTGGCAAAGCCGGCCCCCCAAAGCAGGAGCAGGAGTAGTAGTAGTAGTAGTAGCAGCAGCAGCAGGAGTAGTAGTAGTAGTCGTCGTCGTAGTAGTAGTCGTAGTAGTAGTCGTCGTGGTGGTGGTGGTAGTGGTAGTGGTAGTAGTAGTAGCTGCAGCAGCAGCAGCAGGAGTAGTAGTAGTAGTAGTAGCAGCAGCAGCAGTAGGAGTAGGAGTAGGAGTAGGAGTAGGAGGAGGAGTAGGAGTAGGAGTAGGAGTAGTAGTAGTAGTAGCAACAGCAGCAGCAGCAGAAAGAACATCTTTGGCCATATCTTTCGCAAAAAATAAACTTTTGCAAACGAGAAAAAACTTTCGCCAAATGAGGTTTTGACATGTTTCAGGGTCATCGTAATCAACGCTATGTATTAGGACCTTTAGATCGACAACCATATATAGTTTATTGCCAGGTCCAACCTGCAAGTACTAATTACGATTGTTTGAGCTGGTGGGAACAACGACGCATCCAAAAAGCAGAATATGCTGTGAGATGGCATGAGTAAGCAAGTGCCAACCTGCGGCTGGAAACTCGGCGTTGGAGTGCCCCTCCGAAACGCCTCTGCAGCGCAGAGGACCTGCGACCTGGACAAGGCTTGCACTTCTTCGTCAAACAAAGTGCATGTGTGAATGCTCCAGCTGTCAGCACAGACCTTTCAGTAGATGATTTACAAAATGTTTGATCAAGAAAGCATAAGAAAGCTCAATTGGTGTGGCATTTCATGTCCCAACTGCTTGATGTTGACATAAGGTGACACACCCTTGCAGCAAGTTCTGAGCCAAGGCCCTGGCATCGTCGAACATCACACAGCATTGGTAGCCAAAAAGGAAGCCTGCAGAATGCAAAGTCCATTGATTCTCCAGCAATAGTTGGTGGGATGGAATATGTACTGTAGCCGGGGCAAGCCACTGACAAAACAACCAACTCTTGCCAAAACAGTTGCAGGCTACTTGTTCTTTGCGAAAGGGAACTTGATGCGTCTTGAGAGCCCGCTCCTACTGACTCCTACTGACTCCTACCCTCCAAAAGCCTGCTTGCCAATGGGTGGACTCTTTGTTCGTTCGTCGCATCACCTCGTGCGCCGATGACCTGCTCTCCGATGACATTTGCGCGCGTTCCACACAGGTGCTTTTTTTCAAAAGCCCACGGGGGGCGGGTAGGCCGCTGTAAGAAGAGGTAAGCTGATTAGTAGCTACAGTATTAAGTAGGACGCTCCTAGGTAGGACGCAGGATAGCTCACGCTATTCATTTGGTTCCTGGATTTACAGCCAGTGAGCCTTCTGCACACTGCAAAACACAATTGATCACAACACAAGTGCCCTTCACAAGAAACCCTGCAAAGTGAGAAGTGCAACCAATGAAGCAAGTGTAATTTGAACAGCTGCCCGGCTGATGAAGCCCAAGAAGGACAGTATCAGGTCTGCTTGGTAGAAACCTTGTGCACTCACTGTCCGTCTGTAATTCCCCTTTCCGTGATTTCCGTGACGAGGAGCATCGTGCACAGGCTCTTCCTCAAGGTCGGAGGTCGGTTTGAGCTGCGCGAAGCATAAGCCCCAAGAAAAGACCTCCACAAACAGAACAAGTTATTTTCACAGCGGCCGGAATTGTCTCCCAACATCTGATAAGTTGCAGTAAACACCGCCGACAGGGCCTGCTAAATGGCCTGCCAAGTCCTTGTAAGGCGCCATGACTGCACGATAGCTGCATGGCTCAGGAAACCCAGCTATGACTGTGACTACAATGCCTTGACCACCTCTCTTATAGAATGTCTTGCGGAGACAATACTGCCAGTGCATCCTGGCACATATAATCTGCAAACTTTATGGCGTTGGTCTCAGGTTGAATCTACTGGAGGTTTGACGCCGACATGTTGGTTGGCATCAAATACAAGCCTTTCCTGGAATTCGCTGGCTTGCATTTCACTAGCCCTGGCTGCGCAACAAAAGTGGCCGCGGCGGCGGCTCAACACCAGAATGCCACCCAAAACTGCTTGCAAGGGAAAACTTTGCAAAAGCCTGCCATGTGTATGCTGCAGCTGCCACAAATACAGAAACCAAGCGCGTCATATCTCCGATCTCTTCTTCCCATCGCTCTTGCAGTAGGTTGGAGGCCATCGTTCTAGGTTGGAGGTCATCGCTATTAAGTTGGAGGCCATCTCTGTTTCCCTTTTTAGGAATTACAATTACTTTTTCTGCCGCCTGGCCCTGTTAAAGCTCCACTTCTTGGTAGTTATGCAGTCGAAAAGTGAGAATAGTAATTGTGGATCTATTCGCTTCAGAAAGATTACGTCTCATACTGATACTGTACAAGTATCTCCATACTTCAAAGTGGTAGAATCTTAACCGCACAGTGCTTGAGCCATGGCCTTGTTAAAATCGATGCTCAAGACCTTGGGACGCACGGAGTGCAAAGCTCTCTGTCAAAGAAGTTGAGTGCCATTGCTGTCAATTGCTACAGCTGAAATGTCGGGCCATGTCAACTCAACTACTGTATATAGTATGTTGCATGTTTGTTTCTTGTATTTTGATTATTTACTAAGCAGCAAGAAAACTGTCATCGAGCTGGTCTGCCACTGTATGTGGGGAAATGTTGGCATCAAATGACAGGCATGGTACTTGTATTGGAATCTCATTGGCTACTTATTGAATCTCATTGGCTACATTTTTGCATACTGCGAACATGGTCACTGAACCAGTCATGAACTCTCATTCCGGAGTCATTCTGGAATATGTACAATTCTAACGGCATCAGCTCTTGACCATAGCCAGGTCGGCTCAGAGGGTACAAATCTCATCTGATGATGTCAAGAGTTCAAAGGCCTGCGGCACCTACTTACGCCCTGGGTGTGTATGACATGGTGGTACCAAATACCTGTCGAACCTGCAATAAGGTCAAGTTTGACCTGTTCATTGGTCCAGCCTGGCTGTCCAGCGCCATCTTGACATGCAAGGGGTGCTGGTACAGTTTGACACTCAAGACTCAAGCCCGCTCAGTTCGGTCAGGCTTGTCTGACTGGACCACATGTGATGATACATGCCGTTTTGAGTCATCAGAAGGTGAGAGCTTCCTAAGCTTCTTCTTTGAACTGAGCTCGAGTGCGCCCTCTAAGCTTCAAAAGACGTCGCTATTTTGTTGCACTTGGTTCAGAACTCGCATGGCCGCTTCTCTCGTCGCCTGAGAACTCATGTGCTTTGCATCTGTTCAGATCAGACTTCTGGAGTGGAGTTCCAATGACCTAGTGTTCGTATTTTACTGCTCCCCCGCGGATACTACTTAGCTTTCAGCTACTTGAATCTTCTAGCCTCTCACAGATTTTGCCTCCCAATAAAACAGAAAGAAAGGCAGCAAACTGGATGCTTGTCACAAGACATTTCGCAGTGTGACCCAAACCTGCCCAAACCTGCCTCATCAGAGCTCTGGAGCATACGGACGCAAAGCGGCAAGGCACCAACTTCAGCTACAAGGAGGGCACCACGGTTGCTCCCTGCGAGATCTGCCAGCGCTGCCAAGGCCTGCAGTTCTCCAACCGTTGCGGGGTTTGTTGGCGGAACCGGTCCTGTTGCCATGCTTAATAGTCGAAGCAACTTGAAGATCTAGGTGTGCGTGTATGTATATATTTATATGGTACCCTCCCAGAGATCTACCGTTTTCATATGTTTGCAAGACTCTTTAAAGCAAGGACTACTCACTTCTCTACATCCATGTCCTGACCTACCTTTTGGTGTTAAATGTGCAGGGGGTAGCATACATATATATATATATGGTACCCCCCCAAATGTCTACCTCATTTGGTTTTGATTGGTATTTTGAGTACAAAAAATATAACAAAAATCAAAGCACTTCTGAATTCAAAAACAAATGAAAAAAACACATAAAACATCATAAAACACATATCCCCCATTTTGAGTATTTGTTTACCATTGCAGACGTTTGCGTTCAGGAATTTTATGAATGCTCCTTCCACACTGTACTCAGCACAAATCCAGAAATCGCGTTTGCAAACGTTTGCAAACGAGAGGGGTTTCAAGATTCAAGATTTAAGATTCAAAGTTCAAGGTTCAAGATTGAAGATTCAAGATTCAAGGTTCAAGATTGAAGATTCAAGATTGAAGATTCAAGATTGAAGATTGAAGATTCAAGATTCAAAAGAAGTTCTTGAATCCTGAATTCAATACTTGAATCCAGTATATCAAGTGTCTGGAATCCTCGATTCAAGAACTTCTTTTTGAATCTTGAACCTTGAATATTGAATCTTCAATCTTAAATCTTGAACCCCCCCTCGTTTGCCAACGTTTGCAAACGCTCTTTCTGGATTTTGCGCTGAGTAAAGTGTGGAGGGAACATTCATAAACTTCCTGAACGCAAACGTCTGCAATGGTAAAAACGAAACATCAAATACTCCTGAGAAAAAAAGATAATGCCCCTCGGGTCCCCTAAGCCCTCCGCCAAACCAGAGAACTTAGGCACAGACACCACTAAGTCTTTCTCAAATGACACACACCCCTTACAGCGCAAGGGCTGGGGGGGAGGGTGCTGAAGCCGAGCAGCTGCGGAAACACGTTACTGCGGTTTCATCTTTAATTACGTGGGCGAAAACCAAAGATTCATCCGCCGATGTCTTTTCCGCGCGTGCAGAGTTGTGTCAGAAAACTAAAAAAGCAGACAGCGAGAAAGACTCTTTCAGCTTGTTCCAAAACTTCACTCTTGGAGGCACAGCATTCCCTTTCTTGGCCAAGACCCTCAAAAAAGAGAATGCCCCTCGGGTCCCCTAAGCCCTCTGGTTTCTCAAATGACACATCCACCAAAGTCGCTTTTAAAACACACCCCTTCTACGTCCCCCTAAGCTGCTTCAGTACGCTCAAGCGTGCGAGGGACTGCAAGAGATCCAATGAGTGAAACGTGCGCACAAAAGGACGCAAGTCTTCCTAGGTGAAACGAGCTGGGCCAGAACCGACAATCCTTCGTTGATGTAGATTCTAGCTGTACGGGCAGCGGCCCACCTGCCCTGAATAAGAATCTTGTCCAGAGGTCCATGATTGCCGAACCAAAAGTGGCCCCACCCCTCCGGAGAGAGTACGGCCGAAACCCAAGCTCACTAAGAGACAGTGCATGTAGACATTCACTAAACACGCGCCGCCAGTGGTGTGATGCAGGGGTGAGCGGACATTGTGGTGGAGTAGTACTTTTCCATGCCCATAACCAAGCTAGAACAGGTGCAGTGACCGTAATACTTCTTCCTGATCATCTCCAAGTTGAATGGCAACACTTTTTCCGGCAGGAATGGCAACGGCATCTTCCTGATCATCTCCAAGTTGAATGGCAACACTTTTTCCGGCAGGAACGGCAACGTCATCTACATCATCAATCCACCAATCCTACCGGTTGGTCTCTTTCTGACATCCAGGCATTTCGTCGCTACGCCAAAGCCTTTGTGGTTGGACCTGGTGACCATTTTCCACATACAGCAGTGCTCTCTTGCCCTTGCCACTACCACCACCTCCTGTGCAAGACCTTCATTCCCTCCCCCACCACTTCCACACCTGTCTTCCAACCACTACGCCATGGGATTCACCTGATCAAGACTCGCCTTCGCGACGTATGGCCACCCCGTCTTCTCCAACGTTATCGCTGGGGCCTTCATTGGGATCGTCGTCTACCTTCAGCTTACATTCTTCCCAAGCACTCTCGCGATTGGAGCAAGGCACGCCCGATCGTGTCCTATGCTCAGACAGTCAGTGCCCCACTCAGCCAGACTGTCGCTTCTGCCATCTATTGCCTCCTCCAGATCGTCTTCCCTGACCTGACTTCACTTTCGGATGTTCTCCCACTTCTTCGTCGTATTTGGAGGGTTTTGCAACACTATGACCCCACGGACGACCTCGTCCTCTACCAACAGGACATCGCCGGTTTCTTCAACTTCGTCACGCACCCTCGTATGATCTCCACAGTCGAGTTCCTGATCACTCGATATGCCTCCCTCCAAGGCTTGGACCTTCGAGACGACCCTGTACTCAGTGTCGCTCAGCATCAGCAAGAACGCTTACAACGCATCTTTCGCGGCCGCTGGCGTAAAGCCTCTCGCTCCTACCATCCCATACACCTTCGAGACCTTCCGGATTTGGTCGCTCACCTCCTGGACTCTTCCTACTTCACCAGTGTTTCGGCAATGTCAAGCAGCTTCCATGGGCTCACCCCTGGCCCCTGCGTTATGCAGTGCTGTTGCATTATTCAGAGAACATTGTTTCCTACGCTCTTTCCCCACTTCCTCGTGGTGCTATGCAACTGGATTGGCACTCCGGGCACGTTATGTCGACAATGTTTTCTTTCTTGGACCTGTGCATATGCTTCACACAGACTCCTTCCAGGCCATCGCTCAACCCTTCTTTTATGGGAGACCATTGGAGATGGAGTACGTCACGGATGAGACCTTGCTTGGCTTTGTTCTTTCTACCTCTCAGCGCACTATTACCTTTCGACAACCACCCCACCTCACACTGATCCGCAGCAATCGCACCGCTGGCTCTCCAGAGACGGCGCTCGCTGGTTTCTTTACCCGGGGTATATTGATTTGCCGCTTGACCCGTCCTCACGATCTTATCTTCCCGCAACTCATTGACCTCACTCAGCAATACCTCGACAAGGATTTCACCATGACCCAACTTTTGCCACTTCTTCATCAACTTTGCCACCGTTTCCATCTACCTCGACAACCACTTCACGCTCAATGTCGGTTTCTCACTTTCTCACCAGATGCAGCACATGGCATAAAAATATGACGGTTGCAAATAGCAAGCAGCTTCCCTGTGCGCAGTAACCCGTAAAAACCTAAAAAAGGAGAGAAAGGCCAAAGGCATAGCGCTGGCGCAACAAACACCAGCGCAAACATAGCATTGAGAGCTTGTGCTGGAAGTGGTGGGGCGCGGTTAGGCACCTCGTTGATGCGCCAGGTTTTGAGCAGCCGCCACGTGACTTGGAGGTGACCCTTTAAGTGGGGTTCAGTATCTTGGAGAGCGGCCACTGTATCACTAGCTAGTGCTCGACCTTCTCCGGTAGCCCATAAATACTCCACATATAGTCAGAAAGCATGTCATCGAAAGCGGCAGTCTGTCGAGGAATTTCCATGGGGTTTTCCCGCAGGTAGGTGTACAATTTTTGCTTTGCAAGGCGGTACCTTTGTCGTGTCTTTGGCTGTACAGTCAACTCACCGAGAGTTCCTACGGTTTGCCTTTGTTTTGCTCTGTCTTCCTTGCTGCGTCCTTCTAGGTGTACTTTTACCTTACCCATTTTCGCCTCTGAGGCCACCGGCTAGGCCGGTCGGCAGGGTTTTGGCTTGCGTGCACATACCGCAGATGGGGTGAAGGTCAGCAGCGAGGATCAGAGCGTTAATGCGCACCAGGGCTTCTCTCAAATTCTGACTGGAGGAGCGGCCTGGGCAAACCAAACTATCAGTGGATTCAGAAACCGGAACCTTCGAATATTTCGGCGTTCTACCAACCAGCGCAAACTCGTCAGCACCGCCGCATTTCAAGCACGTTTATACGCTCCCCCTTTCGCCTCCCGCCACCTCCAAAGTTTGGCCGGTACACTGGTGCGAAGACGATGGAATTTTACCTGCGGTTCTGTTGCGGTTTGGACCATCAACAGAAGTCCTTGCAATGCATGGCTCAAACCTGGCGTCAAAGAGTCAACGATTCGCTGTACTGTGGGGCCCTGACAAATCCCTATAGCACCTTCAGCAGCTGGGAGATCAACCAAGTAACTCCTACTTGCCAGGAGTTGCCAACCAAGGTCAACCGGATATCCGTCCATTGGGCACCCTTCTGCTGTTGTTTCGGGCGCACTTAGTTTTTGGCTTGAACCAGCTGGCCCTATAGGAACCGGCATTGGCACGACTCCCGCCCGACACGTCGAGGGGGGAGTTCCGCGATCGTTTCGATGTCTGGGGCCAAGAGATGGACACAGTGGACTTCGAACAGTTCTTATCGAAACGGGGTGTTGGCTATGACGGTGAGGAGGTGAAACTTGCACAAATTGTTTGGGATGCGGTAAGGAACTCTCTTCCTGATCAGGTTGGACAACTTCCCCTCCTGGATTTTTGGAGCACTTTGAAGAGCATTTGATTGATCCAGGTTGTCAAGCTGCCACAAAGACTCCTAAAGTAATGGTCGGTGCCGGCTGGCCGGAACTCAGCAGCGGCTTGGATCGTGGAATCGAGCAGCTCTACCACATCGGTGAGGCCCCTTTGTTCAACGGGCTGTTTGCAGTCGGTAAGGGGGAGTTTGCTCTCGCGAACCCCTTGTGGGGGAGGTGAGCACCCTCCCGTCCATCAGTAGCCTGACATAGCTTTTTGTTGGAAGAGGGCGAACTGCGAACTATTAGTTCGGAGGACGTCAGGCACTTTTTTTAATTTGAGGCCGGTTCAGCGGCGTCATTTCCTAGGGGATCATAAGTTGGTGGAGGAGTCTCTTGTCCCTAGTCAGTGGAAGGGTAAGCCCTGCGTTCTCGTCTCCCGCGTTCTTCCGATGGGCTTCGTGAACAGTGTGTCAATCGCGCAACATACTCACCGAATACGGTGGAGTCAGCACGATTGTCTGGCCCTTCCAAGAAAGGTGGCCTTGGAGATCGCCATGTTCATCCTGCTGTACCCTTTAGCTCAACTCGAGTTACGTTGCAAGCTAGCCGAACACACTACGTGCAGCGACGCTTCCACAACAGGCGGAGTCATTTGTGTCAGCGAAGGACTCACCGGCTATGGGATGGCCGCCCTTCAGGCTGATGTCCGAGGCGGACACGGCGCAGGTTCTGACAGCGGGGCCATACGACGGGCTTAGCGCACTCAGGCTGCCGGTAGATTCCTTTGGTGTTCCAGTCGCAGAGCATTTCAGCGTGGAGAAAGAACAGCCAGCCTGGGAGGTGGGCGAGGCCTACTTTCCTGACAGCATCTTTCACGATGACATCCAGATAGTAGATGAGGAGGTGATTAGAGGTTTGGCGCTCCGATTCCCATCTGTTGGTTTGGCGCTCATTGGTGTGGGGCCTTTGCGCCAGGGAGTCAGTGGGCTCAGTGCAACCAAAAAAGGCGCCCTACATGATTAATCGCTGTTTGAAATCTATTTCCGATGGGCACAGGTTCACTTGCTCATGGAATCTGTGGCCTCAATGGATGAGGCCGATCGCAACGCGATGGGCGACGCTGTGAGGCTTCACCCTTACAGTATTGATAGCGCCGGCCTTGCCCAGCATTGCGCAGTGGGAGGTAAGAGTTCGAGGCCGCAGTGCACGAGGAGAAGGTCCTTGAAGCAGGTTGGACTGTAGCACCAGGATGCCGACTCGGAACCTGGCAGGGCTGGAGAAATGCTTGCCACGTGAGCGGTGGGAGCAAGACTCCTGCCGTTTCCCTCCATACCAATACAAGGACGAGAACATCCTCTGGAACAAACGTGACGAAGGACGACTGCCCAATATAGCGAACGCGAAGCCATCATGGGAATTCCAGCAAGAGCTGGAAAGCTTCGACAAGCACCTATATGTCCCGGCGCAGCTTCAAGTTCCATAATGGTCCTGCGCGCGCAAGCGCCGCAGTGCTCCTGCCGCAGGTGGCGGCGGGGGCACTTAATGCGCTGCATCAAGGCAAGAACTCGCCCACTCCCTCCCCAGAGCTCTCCGCAAGGTCGAGGAGCTCCACGTAGAAAGTCCGAAGCTTTGCGGTGCACGCCTCGGTGAACTCACTGCCCAGCTTGGAGTTGTACAGCAACAGGAAGACGCGCTGGGCTGCCAGGCAAAGCCCGCACCTGCACGTCTCCCAGTTGTGCACAGCTCCACTCATGCGCTGAAGCCGAGCAGCTGCGGAAACACGTTACTGCGGCGGTTTCATCTTTAATTACGTGGACGAAAACCGTATATATAAATATGTGCATAGTTTGGAGATAAACACGTTAAAGAAATTGAAAAACTAGTTTGTCTTTTTAACAAACATAAATAAAAGTTTTTGTGGACCTGGATTCAAGATTCAAGATGCCTAGCAAAAGTTGTTCCAGCAATCTTGAATCGTGAGTCCTTATTTGTCGCTCTACCTTTTGCCTGTGTGTTTTCTTCTCATAGACTGCCAAAAGCAAAAACCCAAAACTATAAAAGGAAAACTCTGTATGTCAATGTTAAGAATGTCATCTATGTCATCAATCATGTTGTATTTAGGGTGTTCTTTCCGTTCATTGATGTAATCATCAATGGGAGCTTTTACTCTGGGTTTGTTTACTTGCTGTTTCTGTTGCAACGTCTTCAGGCAGTGGGAAAAAATTCTGACCATTGCAGAGTCTTAATGCGATGGTTTCTTATGGGTGGGTCATATTTGTAAATTAATGTTTGAAATGTCAATCTCAATATGTAATACCTGTTCTATTTCCTTAATGGATACCCCCTTTCAGTCAACTCATCTCTTCCAAGAATCTCACAAATCTTTTCCTATCAAAAGTATGTTTCCAGTGGTCCCACTCACAAGAGCAGTGTCACAAAATCCATTAATGCATTCCTCGAGCATACATGTTCTATATGTAATTACCTTGCTCAATATCTTTTGAATTGTGTCAGCATCTTTTTGGTGTGTTTGTATAATAGTGCTAGATATATACATTAGCTGCATCTGTCAAATTGTCATCCAATACATTCATTCCTTTACCGTTCTTCTGTTTTCTCTACTGACTCTGATTTTGATACAGCTTAGGTTGTCATAATACATTGTCAAGTCCTTCAACTGAATCAAAAATGTTTATCATCACTGAGCAATGTTTGCATTATCATGTTGAGGATTTTGCCAAATAAAGCTTTGGTATGTCTTCTGCGTTGTCCTTTTTTAAGTTCTCTTGCGTACAGTGGTTTCAGAGTAGATGGCACAAACCCGTACATGTCTTTTAGATGGGGGTCCATATAAACCACCGCGATTGTGCCATCTACTCTGAAACCGCTGTATATAGAAGATCCTTAGGAAAATATGTCACATTTATATATATTTGAAGAATGACAGCGAAATAAAAACATCCTTGATGTGCAAAAGGTTGGCTTTTGTTTGATACCAAGCTCTTTGAAGTGCTTGTAGATCTATCTATGTCTATAATATTGACTTAGGTAGGCAAAAACGGTAGATGTTTGCGGGGGTAGCATATGTATACTGTATACTGCATGTTGTGTTCTACAGTTGATCCCACCTCAACCCTGATCTCCTCGGGCGAGTCGGATTTTTGAGCAAGCTGCGCCAAACAACTGGGGATCTCCTGCCCAAAGATTCCTGGGCATTTAGTCGTCAAAACATATCAAAACTCCCTACCAGCAGAATGGCCGCTACACACACAACATCAGTCAGCAATGCCAAGTGTCGGATTGGTTCCTCGCCGAACTCAGAGAGTATGCTTCGTACATCTTGCAAAGCACGCAGTTCATCTCCGGTAGACATCAGGCGAGCCCCTTGCCGAGTGAAGAACAAGGTCACTTTTATTTGCTGAAAACGTCAACCTGTTCCGATGTGTGAAGTAGGGCTGCTCTGAAGTTGACAACAAAACACACAAATTCTCCACAATCCTCAAACAACCTGACAATTGGCACACAAAATGTCCTTCTGAAAGGGGAGCAGGGTTCTAATCCCGTGGGCCGTTTGTTGTGTGGCAAGCAGTCACATCAACAAGAGACCAAGTGGGCCTTTTGTTGTCAAGACCCGGATGAACAGCATTCTTTCGGGTTTGAAACAAACATGTCACAGGGGCCCAAAGCACAGATTCGCCAATGCAAGTGCATCCCGCTGCTCAATGCCTAAGGCAGCTGGGAAGTGTACTTGTATGCTTGGGGTGGAGTGGAGATAGTTGGGATGCACCTAAAGGCTGCAATTTTGGACCCTTTCGCGGATGGTGTGTTCTGCTCCGAGTGTGCAGGCAAATTTTGGCAAATCCCGTCTGCCATTGACGAATGGCTTATGACCGGCCAAACGCGCAGCATCGGGACATGCATGCGTCAACCCACCTGTTTGCATTCAAGACTTCTGATTCGGAAGGAGGCAAACCCTGCGAGATACAAAATTATCCCGGCAAGAGACCCCAAACAGTGTGTGTGAGGTCTGTAAGCAGAAAGTCTAAAGATCTAAACGCATTGGGGTCATGGTGGTGATGAAGTGAAGGTGGGTGTGAGTGAGTGTGGGTGAGAGGGAGCGTGAGTGTGAGTGAGAGTGGGAGAGTGAGTGTGAGTGAGAGTGAGTGTGGGTGAGAGTGAGAGTGAGAGTGAGTGTGAGTGTGAGTGTGAGTGTGAGCGAGCGTGAGTGAGAGTGAAGGTGGGTGTTAGTGAGTGTGGGTGAGAGTGAGAGTGAGTGCGAGTGAGAGAGGGAGAGTGAGTGTGGGTGAGTGCGAGTGTGAGTGAGAGTGAGTGTGGGTGAGAGTAAGTGTGCGTGAGAGTGAGAGTGTGAGGGAGTGTGAGCGTGAGAGTGAGAGTGGGAGACTGAGTGCATGAGTGCGAGTGTGAGTGAGAGTGAGTGTGAGTGAGAGTGAGTGTGGGTGAGAGTGAGTGTGAATGAGAGTGAGTGAGTGTGAGTGTGAGTGTGAGTGTGAGTGTGAGAGTGAGAGTGAGAGTGAGAGTGAAGTGAGAGTGAGAGTGAGAGTGAGTGTGAGTGTGAGTGTCAGTGAGACTGAGAGAGTGCGAGAGAGTGAGTGAGAGTGTGGGTGAGTGAGTGTGCGTGTGAGTGTGAGTGCGAGTGTGAGCGAGAGTGAGTGTGAGTGGGAGTGAGTGTGGATGAGAATGAGTGTGAGTGAGAGTGAGTGAGTGTGAGTGCGAGTGCAAGTGAGAGTGGGAGAGTGCGTGTGAGTGCGAGTGTGAGTGAGAGTGGGAGTGTGAGGGAGTGTGAGTGTGAGTGAAAGTGGGAGAGTGAGAGTGGGAGAGTGAGAGAGTGAGCATCTGACAGCACAAAGTTCCGCACCTGCTTCGAGGTTCACCAAGTGCTGTGCCTGCCACGAAATCTGCACTTCGAGGTTCACCAAATGCTGTGCCTGCCACGAAATCTGTACTTCGAGGTTCACCAAGCGCTGTGCCTGCCACGAACTCTGCACTTCGAGGTTCACCTTGCAAGTGCTGCACCTGCCACGAAACCTGCACATCGAGGATCACAGAGTGCTGTGACTGCCGCGAAATCTACACTTCGAGGTTCACCAACTGCTGTGCCTGCCACGAACTCTGCACTTCGAGGTTCACCTTGCAAGTGCTGCACCTGCCACGAAACCTGCACATCGAGGATCACAGAGTGCTGTGACTGCCACGAAATCTGCGCTTCGAGGTTCACCAAGCGCTGCGCCTGTCGCGAAATCTGCACATCGAGGGTTGCAAAGCGCTGTACCTGTCACGAAATCTGCACTTCGAGGTTCACAAAGTGCTGAGCCTGCCACGAAATCTGCACATCGAGGGTCACAAAGTGCTGTGCTTGAAACGAAATCTGTACTTCGAGGTTCACCAAGCACTGCGCCTGCCACGAAATCTGCACTTCGAGGTTCACAAAGTGCTGAGCCTGCCACGAAATCTGCACATCGAGGGTCACAAAGTGCTGTGCCTGCCACGAAATCTGCAAACGAGCCACATGTCCAAAAGTCACGATTCACTGCACCTGTCACGAAGTCTGAGCTCCTCGACGATCACCTCCACGTCCAAAGTGCTGCACCTGCCGCCAAAACTGCACTTCGAAGTAAAACAGCTCCGATCCCTTGCACCTGTCACGAATAGTCGACTTTGGAGCACCAACCACGAGGTTTCCCTTGCGCCTGCCACGAAAAGTCACCACCATATGCGCAAATGCGCACGGCGCCACAACGAGAGCGCAGTCGTTATACACCCGCCGCGGCCACCCAGATTCTGCGAGCCTGCGCAGTCGAAGTGCACATGGACGATGTCGAGAGGCATGAATGTATATACTGCAAATAGCAACGAATTAGCCGTTCACGGCCGCGCGCCTCAGCGATCTAAGCACACCTTCTTTTCACCTACCGTAAGAACCCCTGTGTGTGTGCCCACACTGTTTGGGGAAAAATCACGCTACACCTGATACAGGAGGTCGATGGTGTCTTGCGCTAAAAAGTGACCGGAACACTCCGCCCTAGAATTGAGTCCAATCAGCCATAAGACATCATAAAACCATATGTCCAACTATGCTGCTGGTGAGCTGTGCCTTTCACCTCCTGAATAATCTTGGGATGAAAATCTGTGTTCTGTGAGTTCTGTGCACCAAACTTTGGGTGTTAAGCGTCGAAGGTCAGGCAGCTGCGGCATAATGCGCTCTAGAACTGCGACATGCATTCTCTCGCCATCCACCTGTGACGGTCGCATCTTGCACACAATCTGCGCAAGCAAAAAGCATCTCCATCAATGTTTCGCCGCTTTGCCCTGGCCTCCATGAGGCATTCCCTGGCTGCCAAACCTGCAACAAAGGAGGAATGAGAAAACACGTCAATGCCTCAATTATTACGCTTAAAAGAGGGTGAGTAAATAGGAATGGCCCCTGTAAGCGGCCCTTGTTTAAGGGCCCTTGCCTTCTTCGTCTCGTCATCTCTCTTCTCGCTCTTTGTTAGTACACTGTAAGTATTTGAGTTACTGGGATTCGGCCTGATTAAGTGAATTAAGCGCTGGTATTGGAGAGGAAGGTGTGAGGCCAAAGCAGAGATAAACGCGGTGAGAGGTGGCGAAAGCAATGAAGTAGCACGCTTACCTACAGCGTGTCAGTGCAAAGTAAATATGATGAAGGCTTTCATTAGGTTTGTTCTTCACAAGAGTCCAAGTTATAAAGGGCTTCACTCACAAAGGTGGGAGGTCAGCTTCAGTGAAACTAAAGAGGTTTCCTGTGGGCGGAATGCTGGTGTGTTCCTGTCCCATTGGCAGAGGGGCAAGTTGTAGGGTCACTCGCAGACGATTCATTGACAGACCATGAAAAAAAGATAGCAATGCACCACTAAATCAAATCCGTTTGCTATCGTTTGCTGACACCTGCTGCTCACTCGGCGTTGTCGCTTCTGCTTGAGCAAAGCAATACCTTTAAACGGCCCCGCGCGCGATGCTGACAGCACTGGCAGTGGCCTTCGCTGCGATGCATCCACAATTTCTGGTCGTGCTGCTGCCTTGGGCACATCAAAGCATGTATATACATTACAAATCAAAGTTGGATGTTTGGGGTTGAGATAGTTGCGTGAGGGAGTTTAACACAGCGACACACCACAGTTTGCCAAAGGAACCTCCATGCATCGGCAGTGAAGTCCCGCAGGCGCTGCAGGTCACCCACTGTGCCTCAGAAGTTGTGAGTCCCAAACATTACACCGGCATAGACCCCAGATAGCAACTGAAGCACATCCTTTCCGCTTAGCCCAGCGAGCACGTGAGACAAGTGGGGAGACTTGTAAGGAGACAAGTGGGGAGACAAGGCAGCAGCGGCAGCAGCGGCAGCGGCACAGCAGCCGCGCACAGCAGCAGCAAGCCAAAACGGAATACAGGCACCCAGTCATTGAGAAGTAAGAACCTCTACGGTTGTCGCTATCTGGGGAAAAACAGGATGGTGGTATCATACTCGCGGCGCACTCAAAGGAATTTGAAGTAGAACTAGAGGAAAGCATTCGTTTGCTTCATTGTGTGCAACAAGTGGAGGCGTTTGCAATTGTGGATGAATGGCACAAATCAAAACCACTCAAAGGTGAGACCAGAAGGTAGTACATGTTTTTTTGCCCGGGGGGGTGGGCCGAGAAGAGGTAGTAGCTAGGTAGCTGGGTAGCTAATGGTAGCTAGGTAGCTAGTAGAAGCAAACGATAGCTAGTAGTAGCTTTAGTAGCTATTACCAACAGGACACAGGATAGCTCACGCTATTCACTTTGGTTCCTAGATTTGGGGGGAAACTTAAGTTCCTCTGTCCACATACAACCATTCCAAGTGCTGGAATACAAAAATTCAACGATGTTCATCTGCTTCTATTATTTTTATAATTTCTCCCACAACACAAAAACGTTGCCCCCGGCAAAGCCAATTGAACATGTTGTGAATAATGATGTGCCAAATCCATACAGTAGATACAAGCTCGCACGCACACGCGCACACACACACATTTACACAGGTTCATCCAGTAAGATAACCCACAGAGAAATGAATCGTGGATCGGCAAGGTGGCTGAGTCGGCAACAAATTTGGAGAAGTTTGAACATTGAACATTGTTTGAAACGCCAAGCTAGTTACTGAATACTTAGCAGTCTTGAACTAACGCCATGCATAGGGGAGTAGGTTCCATAGGGAAACGGGACAATTGAGTCACTTCAAATAGATTAAAAAGGACGTGAAGCCTCCTGTTTTTACAGCTAGAAAAAGAAAGAGAGACCTCCTGTTTGTAGCTAGGGGGCGAGACTGACGAATCGCCCCATTAGAGTAGAAAAGGCAAACAGAAGGAAAGGAACCGACGCACAAGTGGAAATGGTTCCTTCTGTTGTCCGGTAGGTACGTGCAGGTACATCGGCGGGCGTCCCCACCGACATCAGTGTTCAACGCAAGCCTTTTTGTTGGGCTAGTATTTGCAATGAACAACCAGCCCCCCTGCACTTGAAGTAGTATTCAGAAAGCCCCTTAGAGACAGGGTGGAACACACACAATCGGCCGCATTGCGGCGCTCAGTGGTGAAGGACTCGACGATTCAAGAAGTCAACAGCATCGAAATTACCTAGGTTCTACTCCTAATGGATACTTAGCCCTTGACTTGACTACTTAGCCCTTGACTGAGGGGCAGGGAAACGAGCCTCAAGAACAACCTAACAAGCCTGAAGGAAAACCTAACAAACGAAGAAAGCGCAAGAGAGAAAGAGGGTAGGGGGGACGGGTTGTGTGTGTGTGGATGTGTGTGTGTGTAAACCGTCAGCCTGGCGGCACAGGGTTCAGTTGATTCATGGGCGAAGCCAAAAAAATCGTACCACAATCCACGAAGCAAAACGCTAAGTCGTATCATACTCCACAGTGGCTTCGGCGCCCCCTTGCGGGGGATCACACTACGCACCCGAGTGGGAAAGCGTAGCAGAACACACTTTGACACAGGTTCATCCAGTAAGATAAACCACAAAGAAATGAATGGTGGATCGGCAAAGTGGCTGAGTCGGCAACAAATTTGGAAACAATTGAACATTGTTTGAAACGCCAAACTAGTTGCTGAATACTTAGCAGTCTTGAACTAACGCCGTGCATAGGGGAGTAGGTTCCAGAGGGAAGCGAGACAATTGAATCGCTTCAAACAGGTTAAAAAGGAAGCGAAGCCTCCTGTTTTTACAGCTAGAAAAACAAAGAGAGACCTCCTGTTTGTAGCTAGGGGGCGAGACTGACGAATCGCCCCATTAGAGTAGAAAAGGACAGCAGAAGGAAAGGAACCGACGCACAAGTCCGCCGACGAACCATTTCCTTCTGTTATCCGGTAGGTACATGCAGGTACATCGGTAGGCCTCCCCACCGACACCAGTGTTCAATGCAAGCCTCTTCGTCGGGCTGGTACTTACAATGAACAACCAGCCCCCCTGCACTTAAAGTAGTATTCAAAAAGTCCTTAGAGACAGGGTGGAACACACACACACACGGGTATTTTTCGGCAGGCAGTCAGCCCAGCCTCGTTTGAAGGCCAATTGTCTTTGAGCCAAGCGCTCGTGTAAAGCCGACATCTCAGACTTGGATGTGTCAAAACCTTATGTAACATGCACATAGGTTGACCTCCCTGGCAGTTCATTCCGTTCATGTTCCTTTTTTTTGTGTGTGTGGGCTGCATTCTTGGATCTCTCAGCTTGCGGTGTCTCATTCTTGCATGTGTGCAGTGACTACGCACAAAGTCAAGGAAGTCCTTGAGCCACTCGGGTAGGACTGAAACCGTCATGCAAGTGAAGTGCACTATGCCTCAAGTCGTCGTCAGAGTTTATGCAATCAAGCTATGCAGACTCAGCTCCAAGCCTTGCAAAAGTTGCTCTCAATTTGCAACACCTGCTAAGTTTCTAAGAGAAATCTTTCTTGCTTGATTTGGGAATACCTGCGAAGGACCAAAAGGATCACGTCCCTGTGAAATCCAGCCTCCGGGAACATCCTAATACTGCAAGACTGAAAGGCAGGGTTGTCCTCGGAATTAGCAACAGTTCAATCATTCATTCATTCATTATCCATTGCCTTCATTCGCTGCCCTCAATTGTGTCTTTTCACCTAACAATATTGGAAGGACCAACTATGTACGGTATACTTGATAGACTGGAATAAGAGAAGCTTGTGAGTTTCGTCCTGATCACTCCAGATCTTGGGGTACAGGCAGCACATTGCCTGATGCAAATTTGGGAATCTCGTCTCGGGATGTGCATCTCTAAGCTAACCTTGATACAGTAACTACAATATTCCTGCAAAGTAAATGGCACAAATTGTGCCTGGTGGAACCTGATCACTTCTTCTGCCTGGGTGCAAACATGTGCAAACAAGGAGAACAACTAGGCCAAAGCATCATATCGAAATCATTCCGAAACACCAGCATCACCGAGTAGCAAACCAAGCATCATTCATGCATCGAAATCATTCTGGAAACAACAACAAACAAATGCCTTCGCTATCTTCGCTTTCTGACAGTACTTATGATTTGGCTTTTCCTACAGAGCAAGACGTACTAATCCACTCCAGAACTGAGCACAAAACCTCTAGAGGCCTTGTCCTGAAGGTCGGCTCCGTGTGGCAACGAAAAATTTCGCAGTCCTGCAAGGACGCTACTAGTAACAAGTGCATCGCTACTAGTAACAAGTGCATCGCTAGTAGTAACAAGAAGCTAGTAGAAACAAGTGCATCGCTACTAGTAGCAAGTGCTCTACCAGTAACAAGGGCCTTACTAGTAGGAGCAAGAAGCAACCAGCAACAAGTGCATCGCTACTAGTAACAAGGGCCTTACTAGTAGGAGCAAGAAGCAACTAGTAACAAGTGCATCGCTACTAGTAACAAAGGCCTTACTAGTAGGAGCAAGAAGCAACTAGTAACAAGAATAAATGAACCGACTCCTTAGGACACTGCCGCCGAATCTTGAACATCAGATTGATTACAGCGGTCAACGTGTTGCTACTGTCCAAGTTTAGAAGACCAAATTCGGAGTGAATCTATTGGGATTGATAAATCTGAAAATCCATCTGCATGGCTCGGAAAACTCTGCACAAGCAAAGAATGTCCTGCTTCGAAGCCAAAGGAGAAAGGGCCTGGGTACTCGCTGTCTCACCTGCGCTGGACGGAAACTTCCCACCTGAGTAGCAAACTATATTGGACCTTTCTTCCTGTTATTGTTTCTTTGTTTCTAGTAGCAATGGCCTCCATCCTACTAGCCATGGCCTCCACCCTATTAGCGATGGCCATGGCCTCCTATATATATATAATACTCTTGGAAAATAGCAAAGACTCTTCTGTGTTAGAGGCTCATATTGAACACGTAGACTGCAGATGACTGCAGAGTATCCAAATGTATCTATATGATGTCCGTGTCGCACACAAGTCTCTATGGTAGTCATCATCTCCGTAGTGAATCAACAGCCCACCTACAACCTCAGCTGAGAGGCTGCTTTTGCTATAGCTCTCTCGAGCTGTTGAACCACTCCTCAAGATTCAGAACTCGAGATCATTTTGCCACCCTTCTTACTCACAAGTTCGAGTGAAGGTTATAGCTCAATGCAGGGCCACAATAGGTGGACGGTTCCAAACAAGATCCTAAATGCGAAAACGGTTTTCATATGGCTTCGAATAGGTGGACTTTTCATCGTATGAAAATATATGAGAACGGTTTCAAACAGCTGCGAGTACCTGACACGCAGCGTGGCTCCTCTGCCGTGGCTGGCTTTTTGAAGGAGTGACCCAACCTTGCGACCTTGGGCCCGGAGCTTGTGGAAAGGAAGGAACTTTTTTTGAAGAGCTTTTACCTAACAAGTAAGCCAAGTATATGTGGACGCAGGATAGCTCGCTCTTCTTCAAGGAAGCTCGCACTATTGATTTGGTTCCTATATGTTGGGGAAAAATGAAGGTTAACAGAACATTTAGACTGAAATCTCAGCATGAGAAGTGGTGCACGTGGTCATCCTAGAGTTTGATCACACAACAGCACTGAAGAGCTGGAAGGGACGACACCTCAATGAATGATGATAAATCCTGGAAAGCAAACCGTGCAGCTTGATGAGCGCTCATAGCCCAAGGGCAATCCTCAAAAGGCCAAGTTCCTACTTTGAGATACTTTGAGCGCCTGTTGATCCAACTCAGCATGGACGATTGAAGACTGCCCTTGAAAGAAACTCGCGGAAATTGAATTGTATCCAAAATGCCTGAGTGCCCAAGCCATTTTTCCAGGCGCCGACGCATGTATCGAGCAATCCTGATACAAGAAATACAGCTCAGCATAGATCTTGCGTTCAATACAGATCCACATGTTCACAGTATTAATCCATGACTTTAAGTATAGGCAAATGTTGCTCTTCGAATTTGGTTGTACTTCGCTGGTAATTTTCATTGGGATGCAAGGCTGCGCCCAAGAAACATCCCCAGCCCTTCATTTCTTGGCGCAACAACTTGGCCTCCAGTGGGGGTCGCCATGCGCAAGAATCGGAGTCAGTTACTTGTATAGTAGAGTTGCCAACTAGTTTCTTCAGCTTTGAATTTGAGATCGCATGCGACAAAAATTGAAATCAGTATGATATATGTTTTTCAGCTTAAAAATGGGTGTTGAGAACTTAGCCAAATAAGTCTAGATTTGGATGTGCTGTTGAGACGACAAGCAGCACGGAGAAGCTGCAGAGCAACACAGACCCGGCAGGCGAGCGACGAAAAATTACTTTGTGAATGTAAAGTATTACGCTGCATAAAATGCGTTTTTCTAGGTGTCCCACTCATAAAAACTGTTTCATAAAATCCAATGATTGCATTCCTCCAGCATATTTTATCTATGTAGTAGCCTTTTTCAATGCCTTTGTGAATTGTGTCAGCAGCAGCTGTGTGAAAAAGTGTGCTTGCATAATGGAGCTAGATATCTACGCTAGTTGCCTCTGTCGAATTGTCACGCAATACGTTTTTTTATCGTTCTTCTTTATTTGCTCTACTGACCTGATTTTGATACTGCCTAGGTTGTCATAATACATTGTAAGTCCTTCAACTAAATCAAACATGTCTTATCACTAAGCAATTTTTACATTTTCATTGAGGAGCTTCATTCAAAAACGTTGGTATGTCTTCTGCATTTTCGCATCTGAAAGTTCGTTTGCGTATATGTAAGGTCCTGAGGAAAGTCTGTCGCCTTAAAGGTCGCGTTTTATGTTTTGAAGGCTGACAGTGAAATAGAAATTGTTTTGATGTGCAAAGGCTGGCTTTTCTTGAGGTCTCCTTCGACAGCGCGCTTCAACTGCTGTCAGGCATGGGGAAATGCGGAGAGGCGCAAAGTCTGGCATTGAGGGTCGACGATATGATACACACAAGGTCTTGACCAAGGCCCACTCACTGTTAGTGGTTGTAGGATAGAATCGAAGCGCAGCCCATGCGTTAGGAAAAAGGTTGAGTTGAGCAGGACATTTACAGTCCGGGGGGACACTTCACAGGTTGAGGGAGGTACCCTTTTTCTTTTGGTTCAGGGCCGCTTTAAAACTGATAAAGGGCACCCCTAAGTAACTGGGGGGTGCTTTCCTGCTGTTTGTTTCTCCTCTCTTGTACCTGGACTCATAAACTTTGGTGCGCTCCGAAGAGTGGACCGCTGAAAGTTTACTGCCAAGATCACGTGATTGTATATCATCGAACAAAGATTACTGTTGTTCTGAGGCGAAGTCGACATTGCAGTGACCTCTACTGCTCTTTGGCAAAGGGAAAAAGAAGGCAGAGAGGCGCAGAGTTTCGCATTGAGGCTTGATATGATAGACGCCATTACCTGTCATAGGATAGACTTCGACTCGTACAAAAGTCCGACTCCCTTGGACACTGACTGCATTGTGTTCCCTCTCCAGGAGATCCCATATCAAGACGCAGTTGTAAAGATTAAGCCTCTGAGTTGTCCGAACGTTGTTATCTCTATGAGAAAGAGATTCTTGCTTGCGCAGGGTCTCGCCGCTTCTGTCCTCTAACAGGATGGAACACACCTGGTTAGCCTCAGTGTGGGGTGACATCGTTTCTTGCGTCGCCTTCTACGAAACAGAAAGCTGAAAGACGCAGCGTCTCGCTTTCAAGCTCTCGGTATGATGGAGCCGATATACACAACGCCTGGATCAACTCCCATCCACCGTTACTGGGCATAGGATAGACTTCGGTCCGTACAAAAGTCCAACTCCCTTGGACGTCTATAACAGCCCTCTTCACCATAAAAAGGGGCACCCCCAAGCAACTCAAAGGTTGCTGACTGCATTCTGTTCCCTGTCCTGTCCTTTACGGGTGACATTGTTTCTTGCATTCACTTCCACTCTTTTTGCCACAAGTAAGCAGAGGGCTGAGAGACGCACATCTCACTTTCCTGGTGGGGCTCCCGACCTCTTTTCCTGTCGCGTTGTCCCCCTTTGCCTGTTCTCGACATGAATTCCCACCCCTTGTCGAAAGACTATCCAAATAGCCTCCTGAGCGGCGTCAATTACATCACTCGCATCACAACACCCCAAAAAGCCATACATTTTCACTACCTTTTGGACCGCCTCTCATTTTTGCTCTCCCCCGCCAGGCTCTGGG